TAACCAAATAATGTTTAATAGTGTTTAACACATAACAAAATAATTATAACATAGATTGACAAAAACAATCTGTAAGCGCCCATTCAACTATTTATACTGCCTTCAAACTTGAACCTATAAAAAAATACAATAATGTCATTAAGTACTAAAGTACATATCAAGCCTCTAAACAAATAATATTGTTAAAAACCTGTAAATCTGTAATCATCACACTGTCTAAGGTAAATATTGGCTCAGATAGCTAATTTTCAGATCATATTTTGTATGGGGCATATTATATCAAGTAAATGACTGCAACTATAGTTACATAGCCATAACTTAACAGAACACCAACCCATGACAAATCAGTTTGTTGTGGAAGCTTCATCGTAGCCAAGTAATTGAGTAAATGATTGACATGATAAAGGGAAAACAAGCTTGTATTACCATTAAATAGTTAACAAGTGACATAGGCTCAGATTGCTTATTTTCCAATTCAAATTTTGTATGGAGGCATAAACATTTGAAGTAACTGGCGATAACTATAGACCTAAAGTTACCAAGCCAGCACTTTAAAAATAACACCAACCCATCAAAAATCAGTTGATTGTGGAAGCTTCATCATAGCCAAAGCCATTAGCCTATTACCCAATAGATGATTGAAATGATTAAAAGAGAATAAGCTCGTGTTACCATTCATTCTAAGTTCAGAAATCACAAGGGGCAAATGGGCAATAAGCTTGTGTTACCATTCATTACTAGATTTATTGCTTCCATCATCCAATCAAACTGCTAAACAAATTAGTCATTCACACTGTCAAGTGTCAACAATAAATAAGTAATGAAGGACATGAAAGCATTTTTTTACTGCAATAGGATCGTGAGAAGATCCACTAACATGGCCATCAGGATCAGCAGTGACATTACCATCAAGTAATTCTGCAAAAAAAAAAACAGCATGTTTAGTGTACAATAAAACATATGAAGTATATTATACGTAAAAGAAAAAAAAACTTTAAATGCACCTGTTTCTAGCCTTTGAACTTCATCTATATTTTCTTCAACTGAGATAGGGTGGTTATGATTTCTTAGCCAATCTTGAGTACAGATTAAAGCTTCCATAATTTTAGGGCTTAATGAACTTCTGAAACAGTCCAACACTCTGCCACTAGTACTGAAAGTGGACTCAGATGCAACAGTAGAGATTGGAACAACTAGAATATCTCTAGCCATTTTTGAGAGGATAGGAAACCTCTCACTGTTTAACTTCCACCACCTTAAAATGTCAAAATCTGTATCCTCTTCAATTATGGCCTCACTCAAGTACATTTCCAGCTCACTTTGTTTCAAACCCAATTGCCCAGCCTCAAACTTCTGTTTTTTAAGCTGGGCTTTCAATTTGGAGACAGGTCTAGCAGACACAGGCTCTAATTGTGTATGAGAGGCAGTTGAGCTTGAAATAACGCTTCCGGTACCAGAATCAGAGTAGTTGGACACATAATCATTAAATAACTCATGCAAAGCAAGCTTGATTTTTTCAAAGAACTTCACACCCTTTGATTGAGTATAAAGGACATTCAGTTGAAAATCCATGTATTCAAGCTTGTCCCTTGGGTCAAGCACATTTGCAAAAAATATCAGATAGTTCATTTTCTCTGGGTTCCCCCAATATTTATCCAGTTTAGATTTCATAGTAGAGCCCATTTTACTTGTGGAAGCCTTGGGAGACTTCATCATGTCTTGAAGCACCAGAAATAAATCAGAAATTTCAGAGAAGAAAGTATTGGAAGTAACATACAAAGATCCAGAAATCCTTAAGGTCATTTCATAAAAACTTTCAAGAAGTGACACTAAGGATTTACAATTCAGCCAATCACCAATATCAGGCACTTCTGCACCTAAATCAGACCCATAACAACTCTCATTCTCCTCATATTCTTCAAAAACTCTTTCATTGGATAATGCTGACTTCAACATCAGATAGGTGGAGTTCCACCTAGTTGGGACATCTAGGTGCAGGCCATATTTGGACTCTGCTCCTATCAAATCAGATATATCTTTGAATTTTTGGAGCCTAGAAGGAGAATTCCAAACATACTTCACTTCTTCCCTAGCCCTCACTACAGATGTATCAGCATCTTTCAACCCATCTTGGACTGCCAGATTCAAGATGTGGGCAATACATATCATGTGTAGGTACTGCACTCTAACAGGAGAAGCACCCCATGACATAATTTTTTTCTTTAAAAATCCTATTGCAGTATCATTACTGCTTGCATTATCAACAGTCACATAGAATATATTCTTTAATCCACACTCTAATAAGCAATGTTCTAGGGCCTTTGCAATGTACTCCCCTTTGTGGGAAGTGACTTGCACAAAAGAAATCACCTTTTTCTGTAACTTCCACTGACTATCTATGAAATGAGCAGTAATGCACATGTAGTTGATCCTCTGAATAGAGGTCCATGTATCAATTGTTATACTGACCCTTTGGGTGGTCTCTTTGATCAACCTTTTAAGGCTCAGTTTCTCATCTAGATATATTTGGTAAATGTCCCTAGCAATAGTCCACCTAGAAGGGATAACAAATCTTGAACATGCCACACACACAAACTTTCTAAACCCCTGCCTCTCAACAAACCTAAAAGAAAGCTCATCAATTATTAACATTTCTGCAAGAGCTCTCCTGATTAGACTTTGGTCAAAGACCCAGGTCCCTATAACCCCAATTGTTTCTGGAGAGGTGTTTTGAGTATTAACAACTGGTTGGAAGGTTAATAGGGCTTGTCTTGTCTCTTTAGAGTGAGTATTTTTCAGGCAACTAAGCATGTGGTTTCTCAGAGAAGAAGTTCCATGCCTTTTAGACTCACAATAGTACACCTTAGCACAATATATACATCTTCCCTTTACAAGGACTCCTTTGCTATCATACATTTTATGAAAGTGTTCCCATATCTTGGATCTAGGTTCAACCTGTTTCCTCTTTTGTCCAACACCAGCAGTTGAAGCAATGTTCTGAGTTTGAGCTTCCACATTCTCAGCTTCCACTGCAGGTTGTTGGGGTGGAGGAGGTTGAGCACCAGATACAGATAGATCTTGGGATTCCATCTATAACAAGGAATTCAGAAACTTAGGGACCTTTTCTTAGCTTCCACAATCAGAATTCAGAAAGAACAAGGAATCATTCTTTCATCATCATTCATTCATTCATCATTTCAAATCATTCTCAGTCAAGGCAGCCATAGAAATCAAGTCTGGAACAATCACCAAGGTGATTTACAGAATAGTATAAGCAGTGGGCTTAACTATTCTCTACAGACTTAGAAGAACCAGTCAACTCTAACTACTTAGCTTGAGTGTTTGAGTCAATCAGGTAACTTCTACAACAACAATAACCAACATGTAATAGGCAACAATCATACATATAACCTTACACAGCTTCAACTATGACATTTCAAAAAGAAGCAATCATTCTTCCATCATCAATCATTCATTCATCATTTCAAATCATTCTCAGTCAAGGTAGCCATAGAAATCAAGTCTCGAACAATCACCAAGGTGATTTACAGAATAGTATAAGCAGTAGGCTTAAGTATTCTCTACAGACATAGAAGAACCAGTCAACAACAACAATAACTAACATGTAATAGGCAACATTCATACACACAACCTCAAGCAAAGACATAACAATAATTTATACATAATTACAGTTTCGGACAGACATGCCAACAATACAGTTTCAACATCATGTTTTACTTCCACACTTCAACATTCAAGGCTGCTCGAGTCACACAATAAACAACAACTCACAAGTCAGTAAGTCACAACCACAATTTACACACTCTTCATCAAGCAGAGAATAGAAGTTATACCTCACGCTTGAGTGTGACTGATATGAGAGATTGAGAGACTAAGACTGAGCTTAGGTTTACCAGAAGGTCCAACTGGAAAAGGGGCAAATCGGGCAATGCTTCCACAGTTCAACTTCCGATCCGATGACTTTAGGGTTTCAACTTCAAACCAAGAACTCAAGAAGCGTGTGAGAGTAAATGAAGAACACACCCAGACAGTCAGACCCTCGTAGAGTCACCACTCACCATCTCTCAACCGGAGTCCGGAGAAGGAGGCGGAGAGATTTGGAACAGAGGGTGAGAGTAACCGAGTAAGGTCAACGAAGAGAGTAGTCAGAGAATCAGAGTAGAGAGATGGCGAAGGAGGCGGAAATGGGTTAGGGTTTATTAGGGGAGTATATATATAAATATATATGGGCTGGGTACTGGACTGGGCCTTCGGGTTTTTGGACGGGTCGGTTGGGCAAAAACCAAAACCCACCCGGCCCACTAATAATTATGGATAATTCTGGGCGGGTTTTGGGTTTGCTGTTCGGATCGGTTGACCCTACCTGGTCGGGTAATATTCAAAATATCCGGTCGGGTATTCGGGTTGGGTCGGGTTTTGCTCAGCCCTACCTAACCGGGCCCGGATGACCAGTTACGGGCTTTAGCCCGGTTTGGGCGGGTCTGGCGGTCCGGGCTCGGGCCTGGATTTTCATGAACCAGCCCAGGCGATTCAGGCCGGGCCCGATTCGTTTGTTATTTTTTTCCAATTTTTTTCTTTTCCTTGGGTAGGGCTGGGTGTGTTGAGGGGGGGGGGGGGGTTGGGGGTGAGGGAGAGGGGTCGGGGGTTAATTACAAAGCCAAAAAAAATTACCTTGAACCGGGCCCGGATCAGTATCAACCCGGGCCGGAACAACCTGGAAAAAAAGCCTGACTTGAACCGGCCTGGGCCCGGTCCATGCCTACTAATAGTTGGGAACTTGAGATTATTACTATCGATTTTTCCTATTTCACCCATCCCACATAACTTTGCAATTTTCTTATTTAATCATTTTAAATAAATTGGGAATTCCATTTAAAATAAAAGTATGTTGCAAAGACTTGAAGTTGCTCTCTCCTATCTAAACTCAAATCACTTACGTATCAGTCATCTAGTAGTGCTTTAGCTATCGAGACAGAAACTTTTAGTGCTCCAAATAATGTAACAATGACACTTTGGTCATTCAGTTACCAAATTACCATACTCGAGGACGACCAATAAAACTGCTAATGTTACAATACTTACAATAGTAAAAAGAGTAAAAGTGAAAAACATTCCCTATAGAATCTATGTTACAATAGTCAAAGAACTAAAGTTGAAAAAATTCAATAGACTATAGAGCATGTTACTTAAGAAACCTCAAGAGAGCCATCCTGGTGAGCTAGAGATAGTACTTTTGGATCATGCACTTAACATAGTGCAGCAAGTTCCAAGACCTCAGGAAAACCAACAATCCCAACAACGCTGGTACTCCATGAAGACAAGCCGCGCTTTTGGAGATGCACGAGGGAAACTCATCAACTCCCTAGCAATCTTGAGAGACACGGAGGCGTTAACATTACACGAATCCATAATAACAAGTTCCTCAAGCACGGGAGACTTTAAGAGGATTGATTTAACGTAGTGCATTTCCTGTTTGTACCCGTGAAATGGACATATCTTTACCGTTTTAAGCATGATCATATCCTTATCAATTATAAAGCCATCGTCTGGAGGATCCTCTGAAAGACTCGCAATTACATTTTCTGAACTTCTCTGCACAAGAGAAAAAAAGTTAGAGAAGCCAAAAACCAATGAGAAATCTGGATTAAAAATGTATCACAATCACTAAAACCATGTTGGGGACATACACCATCTATTCTCAGATCCATTAGCTTTGGGCATTTTTGAAGAAATTGGAGAGCCAGGCTGACGTCCTTCTTGCAAGCAAAACTAATTCCACGCACTTTAACTATCTCTAAATTAATAGCAATTGGGAAAACCGGCGAGGTAATGGCATCAGATTTAACCTTCAGATAAAACAAAGAACAAGAGTTAGCCTACAAATAAATCAACAACAAAAAAGAAAAAAAGTGCCAATATTTCAAGGGGAAATTGCTATTACCCCATTAAGGTTAAGTCTATTACAACCGACTGTTTCCAAAAGTCATTTAATTGTCCTTTCAGTAAGAATTATCTCGCAACTTCATCGTTCCATCAATATTTACCTCATTGGATTTCATAAGAGTATGATGCTACTATTAAAGCTAATGAAGGCTGCCTCAAATATACGATCCTAAAAGTGAACACAATTTTCTTTCATCATTATAATATGTCTCTGAGAGAAACGCAGATAAAAGATTGGCAAAGAACAACCTTAACTTATAATGATGAAAGGATATTTAAATCTGACTAAATGGAGTCAAATACGATAAATTTTGACGGAGTGGAGATGTTGCAAAAATATAAACCTGCATTGACTAATTGATTTTGAAAATGAGCCGTAACTTCCGTTTTTTTAGTTATTGAATTTTGTCATTTTTAGTCCCCGGCTCGTTCTCTTAATGACACTCTTCTAAGACACATGTTCAAAATCTTTCCTTCCACTATTGCAACGTAAACAATTCCAATTGTGTACCATTCTTTGAACTTTTACAATTGTAATCCCCTGGCATTGTAAAATGGCACTTTTGATACTCATCTTTCAATTTTTGCATAATAGATTGAAGACCAAACGTGTCGGTGTGACCATTGATGGAATCAGGTACCATACTTCCATGAGTGTCTCTGTGATGATATGTAAGAACTAAGCCATGAAAAAACCAAAAAACAAGTATCAAAAGTGTCTATCTGATGCAACAGTCAGGTGATTTAAAGTGTAGAACACCCTTTAGTTTAGTTTGATGACAATGTAGTGGAATTATACTTCCAGACTCACCCAAAGAGGATCAGCAGACAAGTAAAGAGTCTTAACTTGTGCCTGATGAAGGGCATAACATCCCCATTCATCAGTCACACATGGAGAAACATCAACACCCAGGCCTTCAAGTTTTGGAGCATTAAACACGAAATTATTACTCCCATCACAAGGACATAAAACCAGCTCCTCAAGATTAGGAATACTCGAGACGGTTCCGCGAACATTCGGTTTAAACTCCACACCATCCAAAACTAATAGCTTGACCGCGGGAAACACAATGCGGGGACTAACGGGGCAATCAAGAACGAAACCCCGGAGGACGAGTTGCTTTATAGTCGGGCAGGAGAATATACAATTCGGCAGAGTATATTGCAGACCGGGAAGTGTAATAGAGAGCTCAAGTTCCTCAATTCCCTTCCTTGACAGGAAAAGACACCACCGGTCCAGATCAGACTGCTCCGGTATAGGATCATCCCAATGGTGAATCTGAAGCTCAAATTTGTTGACCTGACCCGCTCGGAGCATGAGAACATTATTAATTGTGTTTATGCGGCCTACGCCGCCGCGGTGACAGCGGTTTGATCGGGAAAAGCTGAAGAAGTCCGTACCAAACAGAAGCTGCCCGTGATGATACCAAACATCCTTCCAACCGGTTGAGAGAAGGGCGGTTCTGGCAGCGTCTTGAATGGGCAAGAACTTCAAAATTAGGTCCTTTGTGTCTGCCGGCAGTTGACTTATTAGATCGGTTGCGGGTTTTCTTCTACGCCGCCGACTACCCATCAGAAAGAACTCAAGAAGTCGGAACGAAGTTAATTGGAGAGAGGATGGGGTTTGTGCTGTGTACACTGTAACCGACCGCCCGTACTTTCTCTGTTCAAACCTAGATTTTCCCGACCCTTTTTAACACGTGACTCACTTATTTCGAAAATGCAGTATACATTGGGTACACTATTTGTACAACATATAAAATTAAATTTTTTACCCCTCCCCCACCTTTCTCCCTCCACGTGTGAAGCCTCTTCCCAAATCTCCTGCATCGTCACTTCTTTCTTCTCCATCTCTCCCCCCACATTCGAACGTTTCCCAAAACTTTGTCTCCCCACTTCCGTCGTTCCTCGTTGGTTCTCTGCTCATATCCCCCCTCGAGTTTCTTCTTCTTCGCCTCTCCGTGAGTGCGAAAGTCGTGCTCGTCGCGAAGCATCTTTGTGAACAAGAAAGCCGGCATCCACCCTGAAGATCCACCTGCGAAATGGTTCGTACTTCACTGTCATCTTTGGCTGAGGTTTCAAAGAGAAGGTAATATCAACTTCTTGAACACATTTGTGAGTAATATTGTTCAATTTGACCCCCTAATGTGTGGTTTGTTTTGAACACATTGTGTTTGTTGTTAATTTTTTTTATTTTGAATTCATTAAGGTATTTCAAAGTCTACACTTGAAAAAATGAGTTTGATGAAGTGAGAATTGCACTGTAATGGCCGGATTCTTGAATTGTGAATTTGTCTGTGGGAGTTAGGTATACTGTCTGTTGCCAGACAATTTAGGGTATACGATTAGATATGATGGAAGTTGTTGTCTGTATTTACATTTCACTTGATTTGATAACAAATTTTAATATGTAATGAATAAGGTATTTTGTCTGCATTAAATTTGATGTTAGTGTGTAAAAATATGACTTCATTTGTGATATTTGTAGGATGAAACATGAACTATTGGTTCCCGTAAAGTCCCTTTTCCCATCACAATATTCACAGTGCACATACTTTGGGAAATTGGGTAACTTGTTGGACTCCATTCCAATCAGTCAACGGGAGGTCTTCAAGAAGCTTCCATGGGTCATTTTGCTAAGACGCCAGAATTGCAGTTTTCTGGCCAAATTGTGTATATGTTGGTGTTGCGACTGGTTCGGCAACAACCTGTGGATGAGTTTTGGTTTTCGATTAGAGGGAAGATCTTTAAGTTCACGTTTAAAGATTTTTGTGAAATAACCAAGCTGCCACCAGACCAACTTTTGAAAAAAAATGAGAAAGGCAGTGTGGCTTAGAGATGGACTCGGGCCAGGTGGCCCGACCCGGAACCGGCCCGGGACCGGTACTGTTCCGGCCCGGCCCGACCCGGTGGCCCGGTCAGTGACCGGTCCGGGTAGGTCTGGCCCATGGGTTTTCCGGTCCGGGCTCGGGTCGCCCAAAACAAGGCCCGACCCGGCCGGGCCCGGTTCGGGCCAAAACCTACTTTTTTTTCAATTTTTTTAAATTTTCGGGTTGGGATGGGTATTTTGGGCCATTTGGGGTGGTTTGGGGGGTTGGGGGGTGGGAGGGGGGTTAATTAGGAAGAGGAAAACAAAAAAAATGATAATGGGCCCGACCCGGACCTGGACCCGGTGGTTACCCGGGCGGTCCCGGGTCCACCATTTCTGAACCGCCGGCCCGCCCGGGCCTAGGCCCGACCCGGACCCGGCCCGGACCCGAGTCCATCCCTAGTGTGGCTGATATCTTCTTTAAAGGAAACAAACGAGTCACATACCAAGAGTTGAAGGAAACAATGGAGGCCGTGAATCTAAAGAAGAGGATTGACCCATTAGCTTATGTGAAGTTGGCTTCCCTTTTCGTTGTTGATGGTGTGTTGCTGACTAGAGACCATGGCACAAAGATCAATGCTGATCATTTTGATTGGGTTGAAGATTTTGACAACATTCAAAAATATCCTTGGGCACTGGAGTCATATACCCTTATGGTTAGCAATTTGAAGTCGTTCATGCGTGGGCAACCGGAGAAGTTTGAAGCTGCGTTAGCGAAGAATCCTGGCTAGAAGAACGCTAAGTTCACAATTTGGTCTTTACCGCATGTGTTGCAGGCTAGGTTGGTTTTTAACTTTGTTTGTGTATTTAAAAAATCGTCTGTGTGACAGTCTGAATTTGTCTGTGGCTTGACATTTGTTTAAGTATTTATTTGGTTGTTTATGCAGGTTTGGGCGTATGAGAAAATCCATGGACTTGCGGGAAAATGCGACCAAAAAGTGAAATCTGAAGCAACTAGAATTTTGAATTGGAAATTTGTTGGGTTCTTCCATCTCTCTTCTCTGAAGGAATTAGTATTCACCGATGAGCCTTTAGAAGAAGAAACTGTAAGATGTTGTTAATTTTTTTTTAATAATATCCGTGACGTCATATTACAACTTTCTGTCTATTTAATTGACATGTATTGTAGGATGATGAGAAGGATGGTGAAGAAGATGATGACGAAGCAGGTGATGAAGAAGAAATTGGTATGGAAGATGAGGATATCAAACTATTTCGTAAATTGAAGGTGATAGAAGATCTTTCAAAAACAAGGGATGAAATTGAACAATTGAGGGGTAGTGTTAGAGACATTGAGGCCACACTTGGTGAGGTCAAGGACATGTTATCTAAGTTGATGGGGGTGGTTCTGCAAGGTAAAAACGAGGTGGCTACTGAAAAGAAGGTATTCTTTCAAAATGTCTCTACAGGTCATAATATATGTCTGTGAATGCTATGTAATTGTCTGTGAACCTACATGTTATTGTCTGTGAATCAGGAAGTTCTCACTGTTGATGAGAAGACCGATTCTGTTCAAGATAAGCAGTGTACTGAGCATGAAATGCTGGAAGTGGACAACGCACAGAAGGTATGTTTACCAAATGACTTTGCACTTTGGCTTTGTAAATGTCTGTGTACTTAGTTCATAATGTCCGCGAAACTATTATCTTTTTGACATCTTTGTGATTCAGAGGAAGAAGATGAAGTCCAAAGCGGAGCTGATGAAGATGATAAAGGAGTTGAGGAAGAAGATTTGAAGCATGGCACTCCGGACGTGTTAATTGAAGAGAAGGCTCATGAAGATGATAAGGGAGCTGAGGCAGAAATGGCGCTTATGCCCACGACCGAAAAGGTACGCTTTGTAATTGTGTGTGCAGGTGATTTCAAATGTGTGTGTACTTACATGTGTTCGTTTGTGAAGGATCAGAATGTTGAGGCCAGTGTTCACCCTTTGCCTAAATCAACCCTCATAAGATTTATTTTGGAAGAAGTTAGTGCCTAATTTTTTCATTTAGTAACTGTTTTGAGGACTCATTAATGATTTCTTGATATTACGTATTTCGTAGTTGAACGATTCGGATATGGTCTTAGGAGATTGTGAGTCACCCCTTCCTAATAAGGTTAACTTGTTACCATTATCTTGACATAACACTAAGTATGTTTACAAACTTGTTTACTGGTCTACCACATATGTAATAACCACTTTTATGTCGCTTTGTAGGATGACTCCTTCCTGGATGAAGAAGTGACCGCCCCAACACCTTTTCAAAATGTGGATTGGGAGGATCTTGTTGAAGATGATGTTCCAATAACCAAACCCCAACCTGCCAAAGAGGAAATCAAGAAAAGAAAGAGATTTGTCTCCAAGTATCATATCAGTCCTTTTATGGATCCGTGTGCTAAGCGGGTTAATCCGAGTCAAGCTGGAAGTGGGACACAAGTTGAAGAAGAAGAGAAACTGTTCAATGAGCTCAAGACTTGGGTGAAAGGCCTTGCTACTGAGGAACCAATCTGTGTCACTTTAGACCTTTCAGTTTGTATTACTGTGGATAGAAAGTTCTTCCGCGATCTGATAGACCCATCTGAATGGCTAAGTAGTGTGGTAAGTGTACAATTATATTCCCAACTTATACAATTTTACTAAGTGCCTATTTTACAACATTAAAATTAACTTTAACCACTTCATTGCAGCACATTGATGCCCTGAGCAACATGTTGAAGAGTCAGAGAGTTGAGGGTCAACAATCTGAATTGGTGTCCCTCTATTTCGTGGTAAAGTCTTAAATGAAGTTCTTATGGCTTTTATATTCTTCCAGTGGGTAAATGTATGTGGCCAGACAAATTTATCCGGTCTCACAGGCATTTCACCCTTGGGTGAATTTGGAATCCCAGTGGGTAAATGTTTGTGGCCAGACAAATTTATCCGGTCTCACGGGCATTTCACCCTTGGGTCAAGATGGACTTCCATTTCACACTTGCGTTTATATGTCTACCATTACTATTAAACAAACATGTGTTTGGTAAAATGTAGAATCAATTGATGAGGAAAAAATTAGACAAGCCAGCAGATTGGAATGGAGATAGGTTGTTGAAACGCATTGACTGGCGTGGCTTGTCCAAGGTATGCTTGAACAATGTTCCCCGCAGAGAATTGTATTCTTATTGCATGGCTACACATACAGTTTGAACAATGGTGAATTCATTAACAGGTTTTCATTCCATTGAATGTTGAGGACAAACATTGGATCTTATGTGAGGTAAACTTGGAGGAGGTTGTTGTTAAAGTATATGGTTCCTTAAAGAGTTCCCGAACTCCATGGTATGCATGTCAATTGTGCATGAGCCTTCCTTACCTACTCCAACACATTCAACATGGACTACCACGCCCCTTACACCTAAGAACATGGGAGGCTGTGGCTGTTGATGAGGTTCCGCAACAAGCAATGGGGTAAAATTGTTATGTTAATGGTGTTTGATGTGTCTATATTCGTATAGGATAGTAGTTGATGTATTATCACTTTTGTGCAGGTCTGGAGTATGTGGTGTTATGGTAATGGCGTTTGCTGAACATTTGTTGCACGGCCTCCCCTTAACACCCGGGTGTGAGTACGACAACACCCCCACAATTCGGAAGAACTTTGCATTACGCCTATATCGTTTGAGGAAGCATGCATACAACATTGAATTGAAGAATGAATGAAGGCTGACCATCTGTATTTTTTTGTCCATGTAATTGATGTGAAGAAACACTTATTTTTTGTCCATCTGTATTTATGTTGTTACACTTTTTCCATTACATGCCCTCAAGTAGTTATATATGTGCTTATGTTTATGATGTAAACCTTAAACGAAACATATGTATATCAACTTCTGGTTTAGCAATATATGATAGGAGTACAATGGATGTGAACATTTGCAAAGCATAAATCATTCTAGCATTGTAAACTTGTGTCATTACACGCGTTATCATCGCCTAAAACAAAGAAAGATTCAAGCTTAAGTCATCATTATACATCCATTGTAATTCGCTTGGTACAACATTTGTTGGTACTACGTCTTCAACATTGTTGGATTCTGGCACGTCTCCAACTTTCTTTTTTGCCCGTCCATGTTATACGTTGCAATAGAAGTCAGTATTTGTGGGTAGACAAATTTGGATGGTCTTCTAGTGAGATAATGTCTAAGGCCAGACAAATTTATCCGGTCTCACAGGCATTCACACTTGGGTGAACATGGAATTTCAGTGGGTAAATGTCTGTGGTCAGACAAATTTGTCCGGTCTCACGGGCATTTCACACTTGGGTGAAATGGACTTCCAGTGGGTAAACGTCTGTGGCCAGACAAATATTTCCAGTCTCACAGGCATTTCACAGATAACTTGGTGTACCTTTTTTGTTTTCTTCCCCTTTTCAATACGCCCTTTTATCCTGTTCTTTCTAGGAGCGCCTTTACATTTTGTCTTGTTTCGATCTTGAATAGGGACACTAGTTTGTGCGTCCACGCCTACGACTTGGATTGGGGCGTTGTCCATTAATTGAGTCATAACCATTGTTCTAAAACTCGCTAGGCGCTAGTCGGGTGGTTGAGGGGCGCCTAGCGCCTAGGCGGCCGACTAGGCCGATTTTTTGGCCGACTAGGCCGACTCGGCCTCTACAGTTATGGCCGACTAGGCCGCCTAGGCCGATTAATCGGACCGCCTAGGCCGATTTTTAGAACAATGGTCATAACTCCACAAATTGAAGAACGTGTATTTGACATGCTGCATTTTTCCGGTTCAACGTCAAGCCATGTCAAGATGCGTGCATAATGTTCGTCATCATCAGCCACACAATTCGCAAGCCTTTCAAAGGTGGTGCATAACCTGTCAAACCGTTTTTTTCTTTAGTCGTAATCCAACCGTCATAGTTGATTTTAACTCTTGTGTATCCCCTTTTGACATCTCTCCTCCACCTTTGCATGATATAACACTCTGGTAAGACGTTAATTTCGTTACGCAATAGGACTGTGATGATGTGATTACAAACAATCCCTCTAAACTCAAATAAATGGCATGTGCAAATGGATTTTGGGACGGGACTATCATACTCAACCACAACATGGACAGTTTTGTAAAAACCATTCACCTTTTTGTATTCACGGATATGGTAATGTATACCATCCTCACTCCCTAACAGGTCACAATACAACCTCCCGGTCATTTCACTTTGAAACTCCTTGAACTTTGCAAGTGTGTACATTTGTTGCAACTGATGTTCCATGGCATATATAGTCACACAAGGTATCATTTTGGTGAAAGACTTGACATCCTCTTGGAACTCTTTCTCTACTTTGCTTTTCAAAGCACGCCCGTATTGGTCAACAAATTCCTTTAGACTTGTTTTTGAATGAACAAAGTCATCAAAAAAGGCGTTAATGCTCTCACTACGTTGGGTCGTTGACATCCCTGCCCAAAAAGTAGGCCTCAAGTAGCATGACACCCAACGATGTCTTTCATTGTAAGGCACATGTAACCATTCATGGTCATTAAGATGAAACCTGCACATTACAAACGATTAATATTACGATACTTGTGGTATTCAACACAACTTCTAAAAAAAATTCTTACCTTTGCAACATTGAACTCTATGTGAACTCAAATTCTTCACTTGTTTGGGAGTCATAAACAGCATCATGTAAAGAAGCACTAACTTCATCTTTATCAGTCAACCCTCCCATCTTCTCAGGCACCTTTTTCATTATATGCCATAGACACCACCGATGTCTTGTATTTGGGAACACTAATTGAATGGCGTTTTGCATGGCCCTCTCTTGGTCGGTAATAATTCCACTAGGAGGACAACCATCCATACACTCAAGCCACTTTGTAAACAACCACACAAATGTGTTGGTGTCCTCACTTGAAATTAAGCCACAACCGAACAACATAGATTGGCCATGGTTGTTTACTCCAACAAAAAGTGCAAAGGGCATGTCGTACTTATTGGTGAGATACGTTGCATCGAAAGTTATCACATCTCCAAAATCTCTATAAGCATACCGGCACCCGCTTTTCCACCCAAAATACATTGCGAAGGCGTGATTTTTCATCTACGTCAAGAGCAAAGAAAAAACCGGGGCATTCCGCTTGCATTTTACAAATAAAACTTTTAATTGCAATGGCATCACCATTTCCTAAACGCAAACGGCGAACCTTGTAAAATACAATACTTTTACTTCATAATCATAGATTAACACAAAATGGATGTTAAAGAACACAAATACAATGTTATTCAGTTGTACAGGGGCTGAAACATCCAAATGTCTGTCTGTGTGCACATATATTACGTTCGACGTACCTTCTTCATCATCAACGTCCAGAATCAGTTTTTCCTCTCCATCTCGTACGTCTTTCGTACTGGGCTCACCTTCATCTTGTGTCACCGGACGCTCACAACCGGATTCGTCTCCTTCAAAACCCATAAACTCACCCATGTCGTAACTACTGATGAAGGCCATCTGCTCAGGACTGTAATCCATTCCTCAAGACTCCGGTTACTCTGTCCACGTTTTTCGTCGAGCTGTGAAGAGAATAAAAGGAAGAAGAGCTTCAGTGAACAGTGCTCCTTTCTACTGGTTTTTGAGTGCGAAAATACGTAACGGGAAGGGGGAGTGCGAGGGAAACAAAGAGAGGAAAGAAGCTAGAGGGTAAATGGAATGGTAATTTTTCGGGGTTTTATATGATGTACAATTTGTGTACATCTTGTGTACCCTAAGACAAATTGCACTTATTTTGATGTTTTTATTACTCTTCCTACTTAAATTTTCTGGTCCGGGTGATTTGAACAAACTGATTTGATCTGATTTGATAAATATCTAGTTTTTGTTCATTTTATAACTATACAAGTTTGGTCTGGTACGATATAGTCCGGTATGATCTGGTCGGGAAGTGAAAAAAACATCCTCACATTACTTTGTCTTTTGCTTTTTTGTGTATCTTTCTTATAGGGAGTGTTTGGTAAATGGTGTTTCAGCCGAAAAATGACGATTTAACCACTTTTAACGTTTTTAGTAAGTGAAAAAACTCTTTGGTAAATAGATGTTCAACACTAGCGTTTTTGAATAGAAAAGCTGAAATGGAAACGCTGCAAATATGAGAGTTTGGGTTAACGTTTTGAAACATGATGGTTTCTACTAATTTTATAGCCTACCAGCTAAATTACCAAATCTTCTGACAACTCATCAACTTATTCCACTATTCAAACCTGTTGACGGAGTCCGCTATTGACAACAAACTAACATAATTCGCTATCTGCTAACCGCTAACTGCTAAACGCCAAACAAGCTCATAGTCTCTGTATTTTCAAGTGTGTAAATGTCACATCTCAGTTGTCTGAAATGTTGTAACTTGTAAATGTGATCTACGCTCACATTCTAAATGTTATCTCTCAAAGGGTGACCTTTACAACAACTTGGATAACTGAAGGGTGATAATTTACAAACCTGAAAATAAGGGGACATTTCAATATAGATACTAATTGAGAGATTGAAAGTGTGACCCCCCCTAAATTTATTACACTATTTTCTCAAAATAATACTAACATCATTAATGATATGAATTTGAATGTATAAAAGGTTGGAGATTAGCACTAAAGTCATCAGACCATAAAAAATTCGGAAGTTGTTGAATAGTAGTTACTACACCCGTGCGTTGCACGGGAGTGAAGCACATACATAAAAGTTAAAAAAACCGACAATGCGTACGTTAATCAATTAAGTGCATAAATCAAATAAAATAAATTCAGTATTTGATATGAAATTAAAAAAATAATGGTCATAGTAATTAAGACAACATCAAACGATAAAATAGGTGTTCGTGTATGTTTTAAATATAAATTAGCATCATACGATATAATAGGTGTGTATGCATGTCCAAGTAACAATGAATAGAAGTTAGAGATTACTATAAACTTCTTTTTATACAACTTCAACACAAAGTTGGTTGGTACATTGTCCGTCTTCATCGCATATCAAGAAATTTAAATTTAGATCGACTTGTTACTCTCAATATTGCCACGTATAACTGTCTATGCGTAAAACATGCCAACAGAGAAAGATGTCAACCTTTTCTATTGATTATCCATGATTTTTATTAAAACTCATTGCATAATTTACCAGTTACGATTAATGAAAACTAATGTTTAATGGTGTAAAAGTAAGTCAAGGAATAAGAACTTTTCACTGGCACTTTCTCCGTCGGTGAAAAGTAACTATATTGCAGTGCCATATTCATTAATAGATTCCGCGTGAAAATCGAGTATAAGTTATCATAATAGAGTTGCCATAAAGTTTTGTTATATTTTATTTAATAATTTTAATCATCATTGCGATCTCAAAAAACAGAATCTATTTGTGTTAACATTTGTCGTCTAACTTGAAAGTCGGGGCTTTTTTATCTAGTCTGGCAGATTGGAATAGAATATCTTGTGATATTGAGTATCCTTTGTATAGATATATAGGATAAAATTTTACTTTTTATCATAATATTGTTCGGAATCTTTTGCCGATAAAATAATTAAGAATGCAATTAAGAAAGCAACTATAATTTAATTATATCTTTGATTATTAGTAATTACAATATGATGATAGTTTTCACACCTTTTATTAAATACAATCAGTATTGATGATTGAGAAAGAGTATTTTTAATTGTATTGGGTAACTAATTTATTAAAACAAGTGTACTGAGCAATTATATTTCGTACAAAGACATGCTAATAATTAAGAAATTGTAATTTCAATTATAGTGGGCAACTTAATTTTAACTAAATTAGTAAAGGGCTGTATGAGTATGTCTCGACTCCCCTTTACATAGTAAAACATCTCTTAAGGGCTTCTAAAAGTAGCTTAACTTCATTCATTCTTAATTGACATTTTCTCCTATACTTCCAACCTGGTGCCAACATATAGCAATGGAGGTATCTAACTGTCACA